TTAAGTTAATTTGGTTGACATATATAGTGAACCTTCTAAATATTTGTTTAAAAATTTATTTATCTTATACTCGTATTATTTGATCAAAATTAATCTTTGATGTGTACAACCGTGTGTGTATTGCATTAATTAGCCGCCGGTTCGCCATTTACCATATCCAAGTTAGGTTGGTGTTTTTACGGATTTGACATGGTTGGGATTGAGTGTCTGCTCATTGGTGAGTTGATCTTAATTTGATTCCCCAAAATTCTAATACGGTTTATCATATCTCCCACCAGCACCGATTCATCCAACCTTTGAAAACACTTTTAACAAAACAAAAAAAACAATTTGTTTCGATTCACATGTAAACTTGAACCAATCCTACTTTCGTCAGAAATTTCTCCTTATCTTCATCTAAACGATCTGAAACCTGAAACAAGTTCCAAAGGAGACGGATTAGGATCACGGTTACATCGGATTTTGACACATAAAAGACTTCCCAGATCTCTTTGATTTCTTTCATCATTTTCTCACAAACCTTTAATCTAAGAACTTCAAATTGAACCAATCCTACTTTTTGTGAAGATGATGAAAGAAATCGAACAAATCTCGGAAGTCTTCTCCATGTCAAAATCCGATGCAACTATGATCCTAATTGTTGGGCATGGGTTTCAAATATTGTCACCTTTAAAGCTCATTTCCGAAAAAAGCCCAGCAAACAGATTGCACCATCAAACTCGGCCCAGAAGAGAGAAGCGCGACGAGCTCGGCCCAGAAGAAAGAAGTCCGACGAGCTCGCCCCAGTAACTAATGATTCAGGCCCAAAGTGAGCCCAGCCGCCTCCTGTAGTGAATGACATCGGCACTGGTCCCAAGGCAACCCTAATACCTCATTCTCTCCACTTTTAGTATAAATAGGGGTCCCCATCCCATGAGTTGAAGGATTACTTTTTTCCACTTTTGGGCAAGTACAAGGGAATTTGAGAGCGAAAAGCAATCATTCTCTAACACCAAAAGGGAAAGAATCTCCTGATCGAGCCCGATTGATCAGAAAGGACAAGAACAGCTCGTAAAAAGACTGCGCAGAGTTCGTACTTATCACACCAGCGATCCGACCTCAAGTGCCCTTATCATCAGGTTCCGACCTCCGATCCACCGACATCGTCATTCAGTTATCCAGTCAGTTTAGATCTCTAATCCGATCTCGTTTTCAGTCACAGGTTCTGACCTTGAAAGCGACGATCTTATACCTTATTCCGATACTCAGAAAACCGAACACAAGGTTCGTCAGCCGATCTAAGCTTCCGAGCTCAATACACAATCTTTTCTAGCACATACAATATCATATGTTGTAGCCTGTTTCCGAGTTAATATCAATAAACGAGAATTTCCGATCCTCTTACTGTATATAAATTTATTGTCGAACTCATGGATCAACACTAATCTGTTTCCTTTCGAGCTCGTTTCAGGTTTCAGATCGTTTAGATGAAGACAAAGAGAAATTTCTGACGGAAGTAGGATTGGTTCAAGTTTACATGTGAATCGAAACAAATTTGTTTTTTTTTTATTAAAAGTTTTTCATCTTCATTGGAGGTTGGATTAATCAGTGGTGGTGAAAGATACGATAACCGTATTGGAATGTTGGGGAATTTAAAACCAAATTCCAGCAGTTTTGTTATTGAGTACGAATCAGACTAGAAGAACTTCAAAAGGAACAAAAACAAATACACTTACTTTCGGGGTACAACATAAGTTACATAACCCAGTTCAAACAAACCGAAATTAAAACATCAAAACCAAAGAAACCAAAAAACAGAGCATGATATCATCCATGATCTTTTCAATCACTGGCATAACCATTTGGTTGTTAATGATTGGGTTTGGCATGGTTAAGATTGAGTAGCTGCTCATTAGACAGTCGTATGAAATATTTGAAACGTCAATAATATATCTGAGGAACACTCATTGGTGAGTTGATGCTCAATAGCCTTATTTCTTGGCCTTCAGTCAATGTAGGACTCCAATTAATTGTTTGACGATGTTGAATCTATGATTATTTTAGAGAGATTTTTCAAAAAGGAAGCTTTTAATTAGCAAAATTGTTCGAAGGTCTGGAGAAGGCCTTCATAACCATGTAGATTTCCAGTGACTAGTTCCTAGGTAGCTAGGTGTTGGCTAAGTCATTCCTAAATAAATATTCAATACATTAAAGTCATATACAAATTTAAAATTTGAGTCAAACGTGAACTCACTACTAGAGAAACTAAGCGTAACTACCAATAGTGGAAGACATTCAATGGCATGTCTTTTGAGAATTGATAATGTCTTATATGAATTGGTATGAGAGGGATTTTAAACATTGGTGAAAGAATGAAGTAATGGCTTTTCCTAATTGCTGTTAGCAATAGGGATATTGATTAGCTAGAGATTTTTTTTACAAAATCATTTAGAGGAAATTAAAGAAAAAATTGCAATTAACTTAGAAGTAAACTTTGAATCGCCACTTATGTTGTATCCGAAATCAAAATTATTTGTGCATAAACTTCATCAGTATCTTTCTCCAACTAAAATCCTCAAATAAGGAAGTTCTAGTATTGTAACTAATGGTTATTTTTGTGAATTAACATTATCAATACGAGAAAGACAAACGTCTAACCGAATAGACATAACACGACATCGAAGCTTTTAAGGAATATCAAAAAACATTTTTAACTGATCCAAATCTTCCTTTGTAGATGCCTCCACCTCAAATACCATCAAAATATTTTACCAACCCACTGTAGTTTTACAAAAAGAAAACAGAGAAAAGTGAGAGAAACTCACACCTATGCCTTGTGCCCTTGAGGAAAATAATGTTTTTTTGAAGTCTGGAAAGATCATCCAAAGGTCTAACACATAACTTCCATAGCTCATCGTACAAATAGATCTTACTCTCGTCAACTGCTAAGCAGCAAAGAAAAATTATAATGGAAAATGTACCCGATGAAAATTGCATATCCAATTTTCCAGTTATGTCGAAAAATTCAAGGTTTGCATTCACAACTTCAATATTCGCCATCAATATGTCAGATGAAAGAAATGTGAAAAAGCATCATGATTAATCAAAAAATATAAATTAAATGATTCGTGATCTACCTTCGTTTTACTGATCTTTGAAAATATTTTTAATATCGCTGAAAACTATTCTAAACGAG